AATGTGACCCCAAATATAAAAATTGCGCAAAAGTGGGGGGTGGGCGCTTGCCCGGGCATGGGCGCTAACGCGGTCGAGTACGGTAAATGCCAGGAGCAAGGTAATAAAATGATGCCATTTACTGACACCTACATTATTATATAGTATATGCGCATATTATAGCATCTGTAACCAAGGCAACATATGATAAAATTAATAATCAGGTACATAGCTATAATGTCACTCCCATCCCTCAATGAAGTCCACCCCCCCCCCCACCCCCGCCCTCCCCTAGAAAGTCAGATACATTGCTACTATGTCTGAAAGACTAACAGTAGAACTGCGAGAAATTCAATTTGTCCTGTCACAATATTCTAGTATGTACACTGAGTAGGCCATTAAAAAATAGTATACTGTAATCCAAATGAGAAATAACACGACCAGCTGTTTACAGACATCACATGAAGGCCACAGATGTCAGCCCAGGTCATGCAGCCAATCAATTAGGAATTCTATGCCATGAGTGGAGCCATGAAAACAAACTTAAAGACTTAAAGTGAAGATTTAAGTATGACCTAATCATACTCATGTCATTCTGAGCAAGACAAGATATGAACTTGTTGTCTGGAAAGACAAATTAGGAATAGTATTACATGTGATTTATTTTAACAGAATTCCTACGCATACCGACAATTAGATACCATCTGGATTTCTCACTGTAACCTTTCTTATGCATTAGGAGTAAGATTATTCATCTTGTGTTTAATGTATGATATAAAATATGACTTATTTTAGCAATGAATCAACATCTGTCATTTACATAAATTAAATATACCAACATGTAAAGGACTGGCGCAGTATAATCAGAAGTAACAACAACTGATATTTTACTTAGTTTTACATGTATTGCCCTTTATTACTATTACATTTTATTGCTGTCAACTAATAAAAACTATTTCTAAGGATGCCATATATGAATTTAAAATTCATCAATAATAATAATATTTATATTAACACACAATGAATCTACTTGATTGGTTTAAAAGTGTTTTTAAATATTTTAATTTTGCAAAAAACAAAATGTTGGCTTGCATTATGTAATACTGTGTTTGCTCTATTATAAGCACATGGCAAATATAATTGAATAAACCAGAAAGAACACTGGCTGTATACTGTATAATAATTATTTTACCATAGTATCTAAATTACTAATAGATCAACAAATATGGAACAGAATTCAGCAACTAAAATATATTTTTTTTTTACTTCGAGGCAACTATTATTAAATGCTCTTTCAGTACCGGGTTTAAAATATTTTTTTTCATTATAAATTAATGCAAATGTGAATTTTTAAGAAACACTTTTTTGTGTAAATGAGTATTTATAAATTATAGGATTATTCACTATTTGTGATGCAATTTACAAGAGAAGTTAACTCATTGACCACTAGAGGGCACCATTTAATAAAAAACATTCACCACCAGAGGGTGTTCTCTTGTTTTATTCAGATTGATGCATTTTTGGGGATCAACGGTTTTGTCATTGTTTAATAATAATTATGAAGAATAATTATGAATTTCCACAAAAAATAAATGTGCTTGAATTTTGGCATTTCACTGCATGCTCTATATTAATATTTTAGACACCACTTTCAACTTCCTCACAAAAAAAGACTGATATTTGTTTTTTCATCCACAAACTAAGAATCATTCTAATCTAAACAGTCAAATTTTGTTACTCTGATCTTTGGAACTTAATGATTTTAAAGACATCAGCGATGAGTCCACTAAAGTCACCGTGACACCCTGTTTTAAAGCAAGGGAGTAGTCACCTGCGCATACATCAGATGACCATATATAGCATGTCATTGTTTACAAACAAGCATCTACCCATGAGCTTTTGCGTTTTTAGAATGTGTTGTTATCGTCGATTGGAACTCAGTTCTCGCACATGCGCAGGTGACAACCGTCCTGCTTTAACTACAAAAGTGAAATGTTTACTTCTTCATAGTTTCCTGTTTTTAAACAACTTACGACAAAATTAATAGCGATTATCTTTTGTGAAATTAAACTGGTTTACAGTTACTCACCTCTCGTTCTAATTCATCATATCTTTGTTGAAGTCGCAACATTTCTCGTTCTAAAAGTCGTACCCTTTGGATCCGTGCTTCGTACTTTCCTTGCATATCGCCTACCGTGCCCAACCGTTGGTGCATGGCATCCCTAAGTTGCTTAGCTTCATACTCAAGCTGTCTCCTCGTCATATCGTTCTGTAACGAATACTGCAAAGACAGAATACTTAGATGACCACTGAATCCTACATAGTACTTTGCTGTTGTTAAAGGCCCAGGTATACTATAAATACGCTCCTAAACAATAGAGATTATTTCCTTGCTTGTCACGCTGTAGTAAACAGCTCCAGCCAAGCTCCGGTAAAAACGTGTTTTCTCGAACTTACAGGTCGATTATGTCGTGCCAAAGTGGATGCATGTGACTATGAATATCACAGCAGTGACTGTGTGTAATATTTATGACAATAAATTGTGTACGAGCTGAGATTTTGGCGGATAAAAGTAAAAAACATGAACCGGGGAAAGGGATGCGCTACTAATCTTGAATAATTACTACTGTCAATCAAAGTCATGTGATGTTGGACCGCTGAAACAGGATGCATCATAGGCTACGCAAGTGATTAGAATAGCCATGCATTAGAATAGCCACACCTCCAATTCACACTTGCCCAGGGCAAGTGAATTGGGCCTTTAACACATTCAAGGCTACACAATACGTTACGTTAATACGTTATGAACAGCATGCAGTGCTATGGTTCTGTATCTGCCATAGAATTGTTATAATTGTCAATTTTCTAGCTCCCTAGATGCCATAATACTGTGTAAGCGATAGTTTTCATCTCATTTATTGATTACATGTACATTACAAAGCGTATCTATTAAATTTGCAAAAATCCTGTCATACCCTAGTAGTACCGTATTTACTCTATTAGAAGTGCATCTCCAATAAGAAAAGCAGAAGGTGTAACCATACTAAGTATATCACTTCTCGGCTTTGTCTGAATTGCTTTTAACATCAATAATTTGACATCTAAAATTATTCTTATTTGTGAATCAACTGATTAAAAGCATACAATTATGAAAACAAAATGGCCTACAAATAGCTCTATTATGATGACTTGTACGATGTACTTTTAACAGAGCACAGTAACCCTGTCAACATTGCATATGGGATAGTTATAAATTGTGCATTTGTCATCAACTTACAGTTTCTGTTAATGGCATAGTATCAATCTTCTGACTCAGGGCTTTTAGTTGTGAAAAATACCATTCTTTTTCTTTTTCCTCTCCTTCAACATCGTGTAGAATTAGTAACCTAAAAGCAATGAATATTGCAGTATTTTATCAAGATTTGTCTCTACTGCTAAGACGCTGATTGACACTGGTTATGACCTGTATGACTCAGTATTTCTCTCAAGAAACAGTAAAATGGATTACGGAGCTTTTCTTAAGCCTCCATTTGGATTTGCAATGAAATTAGGCACCTATTGGGGAATACAATGAACATGAAAATTGACAATTTGATGAAATTTACGATAAAATTTACATTTTCAGAGATAAAATATATCAAACCAAATGCACTGCCTAAATATATGTACCAGTCTAAGTGTAGCCGACAACGTGGATGTACAAGCAGACCAATAACACACTGTATTGTGTTAAATGAAAGATGCATAAATAAATTGTCCTTGACTATTCACCAACTTTGCCATTTAAATTGGTCCAATATAAAACTGAGTGATGCGGTTCTCTCTGTTGTATAGCATTAAATATTCGCCGTCATAAATTGAGTTGATATGATAATTTGAGCAGGTTATTATGACTCAGTCAAAAGAACTAATGTAACATTCAATTTTACAAATATGAAATTCACTGATTTTCCTTGGCAAATAAAAATTGATTAATTTAAAATAATGAAATATGCAGTATCGTTGAGAACAGTAAATCACAGTCATAATAGTGTAAAAGAAGCCATAAAATAAAATTGAAACCCGGAGAATAATTAATCCTTTCACAGTACTCTTATGCAGGCAGACAACAGCTACAATTATTCACTGAAAAGAACATTAGTACATGCACATTTTACAGAATGTGTAGAAAAGATTGAATTTATAACAAATACTGATGACAAGTGATGACGTACCTTTAGTTATCACACAGATATTAGAATGGTTCAGATTTGAACAATAAAATAAGAAAGCAGCTATTTTTTTTTAGTCATATTACAGACTTCACAATTACCACGTTGAAAGTCAACATACAATGAGAACATACAGAACTGCAATTAGCTGTTCGAATAATAATTCCATTAATTTAACGACAACATCATTCAATTAACAGAAAGGCAGTTTTTTCTAATCATGAAAGCATAGACTCCAAGACTGTGACTGTCTTAGAGAAAAATGAATTTAAAACTCTCAAAGATTTTCTTTACGCATCAGACTACGGACAATTGCACCTGATTCTATATTAATGACATTGTCAATTGACAGCTCATCACCTTGACAATTTAAATCCATAAATCATACAATGAATAGATTTTAATAATTTCTACCATGAATAACAGATGTTGTGGTATTTGTGAAATGAGATTTTGGTGAACCGTCTGCGATCTGCAGACACAATCCATAATTGAACGTGTATGTCTGGCCGACAGATAATGAATTATCATGTCTGGTCAACACCAGTCTTAAAATACACGTGGGAAGCCAAGTCAGTTAAATTTAAATGTCATTCTCACACTTTGAACACTAAAGGCAACCTACATTTATCATATTTTTTTTGTATTTTTGATCAGACCGTTAGCCAATGAAAAATAATGTGAATTTTGTCCAAAATTAATACAGATAGCATAAAAATACACAAAAATTCTAAATGAAATTACACCACAATTTTGGAAAGAAATATCACGAGTTAAAAACAGATCAAAAATGAATCTACCAAATCTTACCACAGTAAAACATCATAAAATGAGGAAAGGTTGCAGGACACTCCTTTTTAGCTGGATAACCGACATTGAAACATGACATTAAATATTCATGTTAATTACATACAGCTGAGTAGCCAATAGGAAGACTTCCTGAGGTTATAGAAATTGTACAACTTTTGTTACAGTAATTTGTCGTCAGAAATGCATACATCATACATACAGAAAATAATTGTGGATTAGAGTTACCATTGCAAGTACAGATTAACAGTGAACTTCATGTTTTCATAATAACGATATTTGCTCATAATTATATACTGCTCAATAAAATATTTCAGCAACAATTTAAATCTGTCTGATTCTTGAAATTTATTTTCATAGATAGGCGATAATTTTTATGTTGGGTTTTATTTTTCACCTTCTTCACTAGAATGAGTTTTCATATTCAAGACAGGTATTCTCAAAATATCTTTTTAACACAAAAAATTGTCATCATTTTGGAGCTTTTTTTTTCTTTCTTTTTTTGGCCAAAAATATTTTGGATCATATGGACATACAGGTCTTAGTCATAAAATATTTGTGGAAATGTAGAAATATTCTCCAAAAAATTGTATTCCATAATCTTTGGGCATTATTTGGAGGTACCGGTATTGTGTAAAATATTCAAATATTATTTTGTCCGATATTATGGAAATCGTTTCAACACACCTGATAAAATGGTTCATTAGATATTTATTGATTAGGAAGAAATTTGTTAAATTTACTATTTAAATCACTTAATACAAGTAGGCATAGAACACCTGCTACGTTAAAAGGTCATGACATTCAGCCTTCATGGTCATCAGCATGCTATCACTCCCCCCCCCCCCCCCATGGTAATTTATTTCCTCAAAATCATAGTTCAAATTATTCAACATATAAAAATAACGTTATATGGGGTTATTTTGTGGAAGGAGATTATATTAATTTTACTTTGATTTTAGCATTCAAAGGGTAAAGGTTAAACAGGGAAACCACTCACATTACATTTAACAATGTACTATACATTTCAAGGACAAAAGCATACTATCAGTGTCCATATATACTGAATCTAATCACCCCTATATAACAAATGGTATGGTCCAATTAAATTTTGCTGATTAGTAAAATTTATAATTTACAAAATTGTGAAAAATGTTAATTCTTCACAAGAAATCTATGAATTTACATTTTAATAAAAGAGATGTAAAATCCTCGTGAAATTGAATATTATATTTGTCATTATCAATTAATTAGTAAAACACAAGCAGGCTACAATCGTGTATAGCGCCCTCGCTCAACAGTTCAGTCTGGTCAATTTGCCTGTGATTTTCAGATAAGGATTTCAGGAGCAGTACATTTATTTATTTCAAGTTTAGAATTATAAACTACGGGAAGAAAATTACCTAAAACATAGAAGTACTAGTTCTATTTGAAAATAAACTTGAGGGCGCTATTACACTATCATGGGTATTATAGAGACCATTTTCAATTCAGGCATTTCGAAGACTGAGATAAAAAGTCAAAAGGTTCAACACAATACAAGAGGAAATTTGGCTTCTTTCTCGTTAAGATAAATAGCGGAATCGGAAATTAATGAAGGTCTATTAAAACAGTCAGGACAGAGTAGCTGTCAAACCAACTGAATGAAGTAATGCATAGTAATGTGAAGATGCCTAACATTGT